TGATTTTATGAGCTCTTTCTACCACACCACACTCTGGCCTATAATTTATGTTAGGTCAATCAAATATTCTTTCACTTAAAAATTATTAAAAATATTTAAGTAAGACTCTTTAAACTAATAGAAGTAAATTATAAACTGTCCTTTCTGAAACATGCTTTTTCCATCCCACACTGGGCAGAACATATTTTGGCTTTGTAAAGCATAACATAACAAAAAGGGCTTTTGGTGTATCATGAATGTTCTATTTTTATCTGGATGCTGATTAAATAGATGTGTTCATTTTGGAAATTCATTGAGCTGTACATTTATGATTTTTGTACTTTTCTGTATGTTTTTATGTGTGGATTCATAAAGATAGCAAAACAATGTTGCCACCTTTACAGAATCCTTAGAACTGACAAATTCTTGATACATGAATCCTTTCATCTCCCACAAATTAGAAGAAGGAACACTAATAAGCTTTATTCCTAGATTTAATTCCTGAAAGCAAAGGAAAACCTCATTGGTGATAAGGAAATGACAGAAATCATGGGAGAAAATAACCATGTCAAATGAAAGCTTATTAAGAAATTGCTAAATATTGAGAAACCAGAAACATTAAATGGACCTGCAAAAAGAGAGCACAGAATATTTGAGAACTTTGGAATTAGCTGAAGAACTAGCTCCATAATTTATTAACCTATGTGACTTAAATAAAGTTATTTTATTCCTGTAAGTGTATTCCTCATCTGTAAAATGAGTTCAATAATACCTACCTTAAAAGGATGTTTGAGGATTACAATCAAGATACTAAAATGCTTTTGCACGTATTTGAAATGAATATTATGATCGTATAGGAAGGTAGTGCAACCTTATGTGACACTATCAAAAAAAAAAAAAAGATGACGACGACAACAGCACAGCTGAGTTCCTTTAGGGCTACAAGAGCATCTTTCATCTTGGTATCCTCAACATCTAAAATACTGCCTGATATGCAGTGGAGTTTCAGTGAATATTTACTTAACTGAACTCCCTGTTGAGAGAGATGAGCAAAACAGCAGTAGGAGAATTAAGAGTAAAATAAAAGATTTTGTGTGTAAAAATCAAGTACAAATAATTGTAGATTAAATTTTCACGAAGTCTTACAGAAAAGAGTAACTGGGTATGAATGTATGATTGAAGAAATGTGTTTATTTTAATGAAGATTTAAATAAGAAAAGAGACCGAGAAGGCAGATTAAAAATGTAAGAGAAGAAGGGCACCTGGGTGGCTCAGTCGGTTGAGTGTCCAACTTTGGCTCAGGTCATGATCTCAAGGCTTGTGAGTTCGAGCCCTGCCTCCGGGTCTGTGATGACAGCTCAGAGCCTGAAGCCTGCTTTGGATTCTGGATCTCCCATTCTCTCTGTCCCTCCCCCACTCACACTCTGTCTCTCTCAAAAATATATAAACGCTAAAAAAAATTTTTTTTAATGTAAGATAAGAGAAATAAAATTTCTGCTAAATGGTTTCTAAGAGCCCTCACAGCACCGTTTTCAAACTTCTAATAAAATACCCAGGACAGTGGAAAACAAACAAAATCTATCCTACTAGCAAAACTTAAAACTATAGATAATCAGACACCAGGGTTTAGGAAGAACTAAAATTTAATTATTTGACAAATGGAGGTATATTAAGAAATTTTAAAAATCCAATTTACTAAATACCCTGATGTCTTTGCTTGAAGCACAAGTCACATGGAAAAGGAGAGGAAAACCATCAACCTTCCTTGGGTTTGAAGACCTACAACCTGAACCAAACAAAAAAGGGATGCTATCCTTATCCACACCACAGAAAGAAAAAGTTAATCCCCTTTACCCTCTTGTCTCCACTAGCATTTTAAAAGATCTAGGTAGAGACATAAAAGATGTAAATGGTAGGAAAGTGAGGAGTGAGGTATTAGCAGTGGTAGAGTACATCCCAAAAAGTCAAGAGTCTGAAGGAGTAACATGCTCGAGAAAATAAAGATAAGAAGAATCCTGGTACTACATAGGTGAATTGCAGTTTTATTGTACCATAGGTCTGAGTTCTAGAGAATCAGGCAATAAGGGATAAAAAAAGTTTCCAATTAAGTAAAAATTTATATGAAGTATTGGCAAATCAAAATCCCTAATGAATTAAAATAATACCTCAAACAAGTACAGTTTATTCCAAGAATGTAAGGATGATTCATTTTTTTAAGTTTTTATTTTTATTTATTTATTTTTAGTAATCTCTACACCCAAATGGGGCTTGAACTCACAACCCTGAGATCAAGTCGCACACTCTTCTAAGTCAACCAGCCAGGCACCCCAATTCATCATTTAAAAAAATGTATTACAATTCAAATCAGAAAAAAAAAATGATCAGCTCAATAAGTGGAAATACAAATTGTCAATAAACTTGAGAAGCACAAACTCAGTAACCATGAGAGATGCAAATGAAAACTATTTTCCTGATCATCAGAATGACAACATATTTTTAAAAATGGTAATAGTGAATAATGTGGAAGATACAGGCAGTCTAACACACTTCTGGTAAATGCTTAAATAGAAGCACTCCTTTGTATGAATTCTATCATTTTTACCTGTTTACAAGTACTGGTACTGGAATATAAAATATTTTGGGGGTGCCTGGGTGGTCCAACTCTTGATTTCAGCTCAGGTCATGGTCTCACCGGTTTGTGAGTTAGAGCCCTGTGTCGGGCTCTGTGCTGACAGTGCGGAGCCTGTTTGGGATCCTCCCTCTCCCTCTCTCTGCCCCTCCCCTATTCGCTCTGTCTCTCTCTCAAAAATAAAAATAAACTTTGGAGCAGGTGAATGGCTGAGGGAGAGCTGACCACAAACAAGCAAGAAGGAATCTGGGGTGGGTGATCAAACTGTATCTTGACAATGGTGGTAGGTACATATCTGTGCTTATCCAAAATCATAGAATTTTATATTTAAAAGCATAAGTATAATATACATAATTTAAACCTTTAAAAAGTCAGACTTGAGGGGCGCCTGGTTGGCTCAGTCAGTGAAGCGGCTGACTTTGGCTCAGGTCATGACCTCATGGTTTGTGGGTTCAAGCCCTGCATTGGGCTCTGTGCTGACACTTCAGAGCCTGGAGCCTATTTCGGATTCTGTGTCTCCCTGTCTCTGCCCCTCCCCCGCTTGCACTGTCTCTCTCAAAAATAAATAAACACTAAAAAAAAATTTTAATGGGGTGTCTGGGTGGCTCAGTCAGTTAAGCATCCAACTTCGGCTCAAGTCATGATCTTACGGTTCGTGAGTTCGAGCCCCATGTCAGGCTCTGTGCTGACAGCTCAGAGCCTGAAGCCTGCTTCAGATTCTGTGTGTGTCTCTCTCTCTGCCCCTCCCCCCACCCCCTCCCCCACGTGGGCACATGCAGACACACACAACACACTCTCTCTCTCTTTCAAAAATAAATAAAAAAAATTTTTAAGTAAGACTTGAAAAAAATTCTTCAAGACCTCAAAGAGCTTTTATTTATGTGAGTTACAGGATTGTTAACTGAGAAAATTCTACAGTACTTATGTACTCATTTTAAAAATAATAAATGTACATGTTAACATAAATTATGTACTCTTTATGAAAAATAACTGTTTTCCAAAGCAAAAAACATTTAGTGAGAAAAGTCACACTGTTTTATATGTTAGCAAATCCCTTTTAATGTCTGGCCTCAAATAGAAAACAGCTGGACTCTCATATCTGCTTCTGAATTCAATCTGCTAGAGTATCGCTGGTCATGTAGCCTCTGGAAAACCCCACTGTACACTTGTGAGAAAAATAGTATAACAAAGACAAAGAACATCTGCGTGTTATGAAAACGATTTTGATCTGGAAGTGTGAGGAACCCCAGGGTTCCTGGACCACACTTTGAGAAGGTGATTTAGCCTACACGAGAAAATTTCAACTCGTGGATGTGACATAATAATATAATTCTTTTCAAATCAAGGAAACCGTTTCTTATGCAGGCTATCTGTCCTGATTTAATGCAATATTCACCTTATCCAGGTCAAAACCTCTAACGAACAATGATTCTGACTGAGCTACAGACATCAAGGCAAATGAGGAATATTTCTGAGACCAAACAGTTTTAAAAACCACACACAGACAACAGTAGAAGGTACAGCATCACCTCAAGCCCTCCCTCATGAACTCTACAGGACCAGGCAGCATGAGCAGGCAGAAAGGAGAAAAAGAACATAAATGCCTGACCACAAAGAAAGAAGAGATCCATAAAACGAAAAGGCCGGTAGAATGGCTGCAAGAGTAAAGCAATATAGGAGCAAACATCTCCTGAATGTAAAATACAAGAAAGGAAATACTGCTCCTTGATCGTATAGACTTCAAAAAAGACTCAAAATCCTGTATTAAGACAATACCCCCCAGGCTACAGAGAGTGAAACTATGCGAAATGACTCTGGTACGAGGTCACTCACACGACGGAAAATGGGAATCCACTCTCTTCCAGCAATCACTTTGTCCAGCAAGATGACAGAGCGCGGCGTTAAGGGGAATACTGGTGTGCCTGCCCGAGGCTCTTTAAGTGTCGATACAACTTTCATGACTGCGGAACAGTCCATTAACTACTCATTATCCCAAGCGACCAAGTGCCACACGCTGTTTCAGGGAGCTCCGTCCCCAGGTGACTTTTAAATACCGTACTTTCCAAGGAGATGGCGGCACCGCCGAGAGACCGCGCACATCCTGGGCGGACGCAAGTCGTACCCGGGCTCCCAAATGCGGCAGCGGCTGCCCTGTCACCCGCCCCCGGCGCGGCGTTGCGGACCCTACGTCGCGCCTCCTTTGATGAGTACCGGGGTCACCACCCTTCCCGGCCTCAGTTTCCCCATCTGCGCTCGAGGGGTCAGGCGGATCGGCTCTCGCCTCCCCTCCAGCTCGGCTATAGGACTCTGGGACAGCGGCAGCTCGGCCGTTCAGCCGTCCTCTTCGCGAGAGGTCCCCTAAGGGGGCCGGTCTGCTACTCCCCGCACTCACCCGGCTGACGCTTCAGCGCCATCACAGACACCAGGTAGTGAGCGATGTCAAAAAAGGGGAACATAGACGTGCGAGAAAAGGCAAGGGTCAGCTCATCCCACGGAGAGTCCATGACGACGACGGACCCCGGCAGCCTAAGCAAACCCGGCGACGGGTTCCTGCCTGGCGCGGCGAGGGGTGGGGGGAGGGGGCCGCCGCAGACGCGCGCCCTCCCGCGCGACCAGAAGGAGCCTGCGCGTGCGCCCTGGGACCCGGCGCCGACGCGCTTTGGGGCGGAGCCGCGTGTCCTGGGAGCGAGCTAGCGAGCGAGCGAGCGGGTGGGCGGGGCGAGCAGCTTCCCGGCTGTTCCTGCGGGGTAGGGCCTGGTTCTCCGAGTAGGGAAGGGTCTGGCTCCGTCGTGCTGGGGGGTGTGCCAGATCCAGCAGAATAGGCAGATGAATGTAACATACATAATGAATTAAAAAATACATGACTCATGTTAACATTTAGCACATTTATTCTTTTAAAGCGAAAACGTAAAGAACTATTTAAAAATTTTATAATTTTGGTAAATGTGACTCATGTAAAGTTTTGACTCTTGGGTCCTCAAGACATTTTTTTAAGTTCAATTTTTTAAGGGTTTAAGTTACATACATTTATTCACCCTTTTTAATACAAAGTTCTCTTATTTTTTAGAAATATGTGCAGTCGGAAGGGGAGACGTTGAGAATCAGATTAATTTATCTAAATTGGTATTCACCTAACATTTCTCAAGCGACTATAATGTGCAAGTCACAACGTGATTTAGTGGAGATACAAAAAAGAATACAATAATATCCTGCCCTCAGTAAGCTTGTGTTTTCTCAAGAGAGATTTAAAAAACATTTTTTAAGGACACAATTTGTACAAAGCTGCTAGGTAGAACTATCGGTGCCACGCTAGGGCAGTTCTGAGAAGAGGGCGACTATTTCAGGGAAGTGATAAGGTGTACTGACCTTTAAAGGCTAGAGGAAAGACGGACGGAGGTATTTTGGCGAGACTACAAAGTGAGAAATGAGGTTGGAAAAGAACTCCTTGAACAGCATACCATAAACTATGCGGTTTGGCTTCAGAGTCTAAGCTCTAGATCACCACATTATGCTCAGACAAATCAGAGCCAGAATCCAGTCTCTTAACTGTTACACTAAACTGGATTTTTCCCTTTTTGATGGAGGTGAGGGGTAATGTGCAATCAGCCAACACGTTTAGGAATAGATTGGTGAGAAAAGACTAGGGACAGGGAACACCAAAGGTAGTTTCGTCCAAGTAAAAGGTAGTAGAGGCTGAGGACAAGAGGAGAAGGGACCTAGATGGGAAAGATGCAATAGAAGCAGAATAACCTGGATGTCAACTCACCTGTTCAAAGAAGGATATGGGGAGTGGGTGAGTAGGAGGATTATGGTTACATTCACAGAAATAGGAAACAAGAAGGAGGAGCAGGTTTGGGTAAGAAAAACACAAGTTTAGTTTGGCACATTTTTTATTTGATGTGTCCAACAGATCATGCTGGCACCAGAAAATTAGAAATACATAATGAGCTGCTAGATAGATGAGAGCCTCATGGGAGTGTGCACTACCAAGGGAGCCTTATATTGATTTTTTAAAAATCTGAATATTTATCTGCTCATTTTCATTCATTTAACAAATGTTTTTTGGGTATCTGCTATGTACCAGGCATTTTGCTGGATGTTAGAAGCCCCTTCCTAAACATTAAGTGTTCAAAAGGCGGGAAAACTATAGTAAATCTCTACATTTCATTACTTATCAAGAAAGAACAGACTTGCTAAAATACTTTTCATATGTAGTTTTCTAAGTAAGTACTTTCCATAGAGAAAGGTTTTTTAGATCTCTAGCAAAACTAAAGAAAAACAAGCAATACCTGTGATTATTTATACTTTCATGTTTCAGCTGATTCTTCCCATACTTTTTATATATTCCTTTATATTTGGAATTATAGTGTTAAGAATTTAGGGGAAGAACCTGGATATTATTTCCCAAAAGTTTTTACATTTCAACAGTCTTAAATTTCACAAAATACGTGTTTTGTCCGTGGGCTTAAAAAAATAGTACATATGAAGTAATCTTTATAACATCTCCATAGTGTATGCCACTATCATTCTGAGGTATAATTAAATCAATTATTAATACCAATAGAACAACATAAAAAGCATCAGAGATTTCGGGCACCTGGGTGGCTCAGTTGGTTAAGCGTCCAACTTCGGCTCAGGTCATGATCTCAGTCTGTGGGTTCAAGCCCAGCATTGGGCTCTGTGCTGACAGCTCAGTGCCTGGAGCCTGTTTCACATTCTGTGTCTCCCTCTCTCTCTGCCCCTCCCCTGCTCGCACCATCTCAGCAATAAATAAATGTTAAAAAAAAAAAAAAAAAAAGCATCAGAGATTTTTTTTAAAGAAGATAAATCAAACATTTTACTTACCCTAAACAGACTAATTCCAGCAGAAAGAAAGAAATCATCTCACACTCTACCAGTAATCTGAAACTTGTTTCATTTCAAAACTGTAAGAATAAGCTGGGTCTCCATCTGCCTAGACTGTAAAGAAAAAAAAAATTAATCTAAGGGAAGTGAAATTATAATCTTATCAAAAGATAAGTTCTATCCAAATTTTAAATATTCTCACTGTATTTGCTTGTGGTCAGTGCTTCAGTTACTTAGTCTAATGAAATAATACAGAATAGAAGGAAATGGGCAATGAAAGGAGAAAAGGCTTTGAGTTGGTAACAGGGAAAGGCAAGATTGGGGGAAATTATATGTGAAAATTAAAACTTTTACTGATTTTTGGAAGCAGTTTACAAAGTTATATAATCATTGCAGATAAAATGAATCTGTGTTATAAAGTGTTGCTTATCTATTAGAAAGTAAGGCTAGTCTAATTGTGTGAACATCTGGAAGAGTTTTGACTAAACCCATTTGAAACGTTTGAGTTAAAAAACATGTGAAACTAATTTTTAAAAAGCATGTTTCTCAGCAGCAATACTATTGACATTTGGGGCTGAACAATTCTTTGTTGTGGGGACTGTCTTATTTATGCCTTATAGGATGTTGAACAGCAATCCTGGCCTCTACCTACTAGATGTCAGTAATACACACACACACACACACACACACACACACACACACACACACACAATTGTGTGTGATAACCAAAAATGTTTCCAGACATTGCCAAGTGTCTCAGTGCAAGGCTGGGGTCAAAATGCCCCTCATTCAGAATGACTGTTATAAATAAATATTTTTTTTGCAGTCTGTGTCTCTATTTGTACAAACATGATGGTCATGCCACTAATATTAATCATCAAGTTTAATTCTAGAACAACTCACATAAACCTTCTTAGTCTCGGCTTGCTCACTCATCCCCTCTCAGGTCAAATTGGCAAAATCCCAAAATGTAATCCTAGCTATTCCTTCTCTGCAGTACTGCTTTCTATCCACTGAGTGGCATGCCTTTCACTTTGGGAAATCAGTAACAATAACTTTTTAAAGAACCATAGAGTCCATACTTAGGAGGTTTCAGGGGCTAATTACAATTCTAAACTTTGGTACTCCAGTTACATATTGTCATTCTAAAGTTATTTGATAATTGGGGCATCTGGGTGGCCCAGTCGCTTAAGCATTCAGCTTCTGCTCAAGTCATGAGTTCAAGCCCTTTGTTGGGCTTTGTTGGACAGCTCAGAGCCTGGAGCCTGCTTCAGATTCTTTGTCTCCCTCTCTCTGCTCCTTGCCTGCTCATGCTCTGTCTCTCTCTCAAAAATAAATAAACATTAAAAAAATTTAAAGTTATTTGATAGGTATTGGATAACTATGCCATATCAAATTATAGTGTATTAATGTATGACATTTACTACAAAATATGTTTAATTTGAATTCAACTTTTTTAATATCCAGTATTACCTTGGAGAATTAACGACAAAGCATCAATTGCCCTCAAAATACCCTAGATTCAATTCAGTCAGTTCAGCAAGATGCTGGTGCATGAGATTTAAGTGCTAAACCAATTCAAGTATACACTCAATTTTTAGACTCAGTGTGTATCCAATAATAGTACCTTTGATATGGTGACTTGTAAAATATGATTTGCTTCACCTATTTCTTACACTGAATTCTCTTCTGTAAATATCACTTATCCCTTTAATATAAACTGTCAAACTAAAAATGTTCTTCATGTGTAACAAATGCAAATTTACCTAATTAAAAGTCTGATGTTGTTAAAAGGAATATCTCTAGTATCCATCAGTGTAAGGAATGCCAAAAAGGGAGTTACTCACCAGTGCACAGCTATCAGGTATCTGTGGTTACCAATGCCCAAGGTTACAACTCATCTCTGTTCAAGATTAACAGCTACCAGGGCACCTAGGTGGCTCAGTCAGTTAAGTGTTTGACTCTTGACTTTGGCTCAGATCATGATCTCACGGTTCGTGGAATCGAAGCCCTGAGTTGGGCTCTATGCTGACAGCGGGTATCCTGCTTGGGATTTTCTCTCTCTCTCTCTCTCTTTCTCTCTCTCTTTCTCTGCCCCTCCCATGCACACTCTATTTCTCTCAAAATAAATAAATAAAAAGAAAAAGATGAACAGGTACCAGGGCTCCTGGGTGGCTCAGTAGGCTAACCGTCCAACTCTTGATTTTGGCTCAGAGCGTGACCTCAAGGCATGGGATTGAGCCTGGTGAGGCTCCCTGCTGGCAGAGAGGCCTGCTTAAGATTCTCTCTCTCCATCTCCCTCTGCCCCTCCCCTCCCTTCTCTCTCTCTCTCTCTCTCTCTCTCAAAAAAAAAAAAAAAAAAAAAAGAAGGATTAACAGGTACCATTAAATCAAGGAATAATAACATTGTAGAAATTGAATGGACCCTTAAAAAAATACATTGAGGGCCGCTTGGGTGGCTCAGTAAGTTAAGTGCCGACTTCAGCTCAGGTCATGATCTCATGGTACATGATTTCAAGCCCTGCATCAGGCTCTGTGCTGACACCTCAGAGCCTGGAAATTGCTTTGGATTCTGTGTCTCTGTCTCTCTCTGCCCCTCCCCTGCTCATGCTCTGTTTCTCTCTCTCTCTCTCAAAAATAAAATAAACATTAAAAAATT